AGAAGGATCTCTCGTATCGTTTCTTTCTTTTTTCTTTGTTTCTTCTTTTTTCCGACGCGAGATCGTTCATCGTGCGGGTGGAAGAAAATCGGCGGAAGACACGGATGGAGAACGACCGCTAACGAACGAACAAAAAGGAGAAACGGAGAGAGTTGAATTGAAGTGGCTCTGCTTCGGATAAGGAGTCCTCGTGCGTTTAATCGTTCGAGACACTGTCGAGGGGACGCCGGAGAAACGATTGCCCGTAGAGAACGCGTATGCAAAGGCAAATCGGGGAGCGTTCTCGCGTTGATGAAACAATAAGAAATGCGGTGTTCGATCGTTTCGTTGGATTCTCGTGGCTCGATCTTATGATTTGTTGTCGTTGAGCGGAGCGACCTGTTTGTGAAAATGTGACGCTGCTGTATTTTGAGTAAATAGAGAGATTTATTTACATTGTAAATTTTATGTTTTTCTGGATTAAAATTTGGGAAAAATAACGTAAAGAAATTTTTATTTTGAAATTTGTTGAACAGAGCATCCAAATTTTGAAGATGTGGCGCTGCTGTATTTTGAGCAAATAGGGAGATTTATTTGCATTGTGAATTTTATGTTTTTCCGGATTAAAATTAGGAAAAATAACGTAAAGAAATTTTTATTTTGAAATTTGTTGAACAGAGCATCCAAATTTTGAAAATGTGGCGCTGCTGTATTTTGAGCAAATAGAGAGATTTATTTGCATTGTGAATTTTCTGTTTTTCCGGATTAAAATTAGGAAAAATAAATCGAGCATCCAAATTTTGAAAATGTGGCGCTGCTGTATTTTGAGTAAATAGAGAGATTTATTTACATTGTAAATTTTCTATTTTTTATTTATTAGAACGAGGGAAAATAACGGGAAGAAATATTAATTTTTGATTAATAATAATATTTTCACGCCTCGATCTTACGACTTATCACTGAATAGAGAAATTAATTCGTGAAAATTTGAGGCTGTTATATTTCGAGTAAATAGAGATTTATTTCTATTCTAAATTTTCGGTTTTCCGTATTAAAGTCAGGGAAAATAACGCGAATAAATATTTATTTGAAGATTTATATTTTCTCGCCTCGATCTTACGACTTCTCGATGAACAGAGCAACCAGATCGTGAAAATGTGACGCTGTTATATTTTGAGTAAATAAATAGAGATTTATCGGTATGATAAATTTTCCGTATATAATTATATGATAACTTAGATCAAAGGAAAGTAACGCGAAGAAATATTTATTTGAAAATCAAAAATATTTAAATATTGAGAAATTAAAGAAAACTAAGAAATTAAATTCTCTTATTGGAAGAGAATTTTTTCTTGTCAATGAACATTTAAATTGCGTGGAGAGATTTTGAACCGAGATTTTTATTAGATTATCCCGTTGCTTTTTGTTCCAGACCAAGTACCTTTTAATGGAGCCAGCGAAGTGTATTGGAAAATATTGGAGCGGTAAACATTTGCTTCACGTGTGTTGTGCAACGTCGATAAGAAAATTAAACACAACGAAAGCAGATTCTGTATTGAATAAGTGTATGCAGTAGTGAAATTACGAATTGGATAGAATTGTACTTGCAACATGGAACATAAGGGAACTACAAATTTCTCGTGATTTCGTTTGGAAAATAGGACGATTAATATTGAGAATACAAGGTAAATTAATTTCCATATTTTTCCTCCAATTTTCATTCTTTCTTATCCACCGTACACTCGGTAAAATAGGTTTCTGCATATTTGATTAGAATTTATTTAGAGTTGTATAATTCTAACAGAGAAAGTAGTAAATAAATATGATATTTGACCGACAAAGGAACATTTCGAAGTGATAATCACCGATTTTAATGAAACTGTTATATGATAGTGTTAAAAAAAAATATTCAACACGTATTTTTTTTTATCGGAATTCGTTCATATTTATTTTGCAAGAAATGAAAATGCTGGTTTATCCATATTTTGTGTTTTTGGGTGTGTAATCTACAAAATATTTTCTTGTGTTTTTAAATGTGAAATCTACAGAAGAAAGTAATAATTTTTAATATATTATTTAAATAAATGGACGTTTTCCAAAATTCTCGTTGAAAAATACAAAATTTGTCAATTTACCTACACTATTCCTCTATCTCTACTAATTTTCGAGATATCAGATCCAATATGTTTATTTTCACGATTTTCACACCTTCACTATGGATGAGTGACATAAAAAAAATGTGTCGAATATTTCTTTAAATTGATCTATTAAATCATACAATCGTACAATAGTAACAGCGATTATTTCTAATAAATCTTCGATTCCACTAGTAAGTCCTATAAAATGATTAATTATATTTGCATATGCACTACCGGCCAAATGTTTGGAATCACTGTACACAAAATTTTCTAAAAAAAAGTTAGCAATTTTAAGAATTTTTAAGGAACTTTTTGTCATTCAAATCAGCCGAAATGAGGTCAAGTGCTATTGGTTTCCACAACAGAAATTTCAGGTTTATAAAGAATTAGTAGCAGATTCAATATTGACGTAAATTGACTGGTGATTCCAAGCTTTTGGCCGGCAGTGTATATTTGCAACTATTCTTTCTCTTAATTCTGTACCGTTAAATATTGACAATATTAAAAAACAGTGCAGGAGTGACAAGAATATTAAATGAAATTTCCTGTGATAACTTGTTTATTTCAAAGATTTGATTCTAAAAAAAAAATATTACGATATACCGAAATCTCGTCGAAATCGGTGATTATCACTTCGTGATACTCCCTCGCGAGTGCGCATACGTTAATATCGCATTACGTTAAACATCTATAAATGTAAATATACGAAAAAGTATGGTTCGCCTAATAATTTCATATTATTATCGAGAGTGTCGTTTGGTAAATGTAAATAAAAATTTCGCACCTTTTACACGATGATTCACAGAGTGTATTGTGAACATGTTGTCACTTTTTACGCACAGGTGTTCTTTAACAGCGTGATTTTTCTTTTCCCAAAGGCGTGTTTACCCCGTTTTGCATTTCACTTTCTGAGAACATGCCACGACGAAGGAGCGCATAAACACGATACAAAATGGGCAATTCTGTAACAAACGGGACAATTTTCGATCTCGAATCGGGAGGTGAGACTCTGAAGCACTTTCCACGACCGGCCACTATCACAGCTGCCGTTTGCGCGATAATTTTCAGCGTCGTTGGAATCGTGGGTAAAATACAGTTTTTCTCTTCTTCTCTTTTTCTCTCTCCGCAATGCCTGTAACGTGTGGAATCGCGAGTGAATTTAAAATGGTAATTTACTACAAATATGTACAGCCATTTCGTCGCTACTTCGGATCGGATATTGAAAAATTTCTGCGAGCGCACGGAACGAAGTGTAAACTAAGATTGGGTATCCAAATTAAATTCGCGCAACAATAAGTTTTAATGTTGCGTCTTTTTGCGATACTTGTTGGAGTTGTGTTAATCCGTAGAACGAAATTTAGTAGAACTTACAGTTTTGCTCCGATAGAAAATTTCATTCGACTAGAAAGTTTGTAATATGGAAATTTCAGTGAACATGTGAAACGAAATTGTAAACTTAGAGTGAAAATTTACATGGATTAAAAAGTTAGCGAAATGAAAATTTCGAAAAAATTGTATCATTAAAATTCCATTGTTGGAAAAAGATTTCAAAGTATCCAGTATGTACTGAAAACAGTGTACAGATGTAAGTTTACAGCGAATGAATTCTTAATTTACGTTTAAATTCTAATGGTTAAGCTCTTGTTGACCCATAACATTTCTCGAGTTACGACTATTAACGCTCTGAATTTATGCGAGAGGGTGTGAAGAATTAGAATGATTAATACCTTCTTTTTTAATTATCCACTTGCTTCTGGTCTTTCTTAATGGGACAAAATGACGATACTTGAGTTGTAATCACGAGAATTGTTCTGATTAAATACTTTCATTGTGTTTTTCACAATTTTCATCTTTTGTGTCCTTTAAAGTAAAAAATTGCAAAATTCAAAAATTAGGTTTCAGATCAAATCTGAATGTAATAACAAATTATTCACACTTAAACCCTAATTAATTGTTTAAATAAGGTACTGTTTTACTATAAAAATGGAAAATACTTTCATTGTGTTTTTCACAATTTTCATCTTTTGTATCTTTAAAGGTAAAAAAATTGTAAAATTCAAAACTTGGGTTTTAGATCAAATCTGAATGTAATAAATTATTCACACTTAAACCCTGATTAATTATTTAAATAAGGCACTATTTTGTTAGAAATATAGAATCCATGATTTACACATTTTTTTTTGGAATAAATTTCAGGTAATCTGATAACAGTAATTGCGCTGTTAAAATATACAAGATTGAGACGACACGCCACAACTGCTTTCGTGATAAGTCTCAGTATTTCCGACTTGATTTTCTCTGCGGTAAACTTACCATTAACTGCGATCAGATATTTAAACGAGGCGTGGGTGCTTGGTGAAACTCTATGCAAAATATTTCCGCTGTTCTTTTATGGAAATGTTGCGGTGTCTCTGCTCAGTATGGTGGCAATTACGATCAATCGGTATGGAACTTTACTATACAGGGTGGCTCACGTGAAACAGGCCACCTAATTATCTTCTAAAATGGTGAATAAAATAGAAAACAATTTTTCATCAATTTTTCAAGGTCATCTATATTTTTTTATATGAATTTACATATTTTTTTCTAGCGTATATTGTAGCAGACATTAGATGACCTTAAATGACTTTGTACTCCATCATTTTTAATCAAATGTGAAACTTTCCTTCATTTTTTGCCACTTCTTCCATCAAAAAAATGTTTTTTCTATTTTATTCATCCTTTGGAACCATTTATAATTAGGTGACTTGTTTTATGTGGCCCACTCTGTATATCCTGTATTTTTTGGTATTTAATAAGACAGCTGTTTGAACGAAGCTCTTTGTTTATATTTATTTTCAAATACGCTGACTAATTATACTATCGATTTTACCAACTCAGCATACTTCTATAGAACTTAATCGTCTATTAGTCATCTTAATAGGATCGAATGTACGCATGATAAATTCAATACGAACAGCTGCTCCTGATGTTGCATTAAATTATAGACTGCATCGAGTCAGTATCGATATCTTCATCAAAAAAATCAAAGGATTCAACTGAAAGTTAATTAATGGAAGTTAATAACTTAATTACATTTACTTCAATACATCTTAAAATCTCTGTATAAGTTAATTACCATATTCATCCAAGTATCAGAGTATTTTTTCAAATGATAAAAGTCGCAAAACTTCTCAGACAAAAAATCCTTCATTTTCATGGAAACACTGAAAATTTGAAATTGAACCAATTATCATATTTACTGATTATTCGTTCACCTTTATAACAGGTGTTATAATTATTTCATGACATTATTTATTTCACTAATAATGTAAAAATCAAATTTGACACCAAATGCTTAATTAATAGAAAAATATATTTTAAATATCATATAATATTACTGACAATAAAAAATCAAATGTAACACCGAATGCCTAATTAACAGAAAAATATATTTCAGATACATACTGATTTCAAGATCAGAAATATACGCCCAACTATACACCACGCAGCGAATCATTCTAATGCTGATCGCCATTTGGACACTAAGTTTCTCCTTACTTTTACCACCGTTGCTCGGCTTTTGGGGAACGTTGGGCCTGGAGAAGACCACTTTCTCCTGCACTATACTCAAGAAAAACGGTAGCAGTCCAAAGAAATTCCTGTTCGTTTTAGGATTCATCGTGCCTTGTGCAGTCATATGCGTCTCCTATCTTTGCATTTACTGGAAAGTAAGGAAGAGCAGAAAGAATCTAGAGGCTCACGCAGGTGTATCTAGAAGAAAAGCTGGAGGATTCCAACGTAGAGAAGATTCCAGAGTGACCAGACTGATGTTGACCATATTCTTATGTTTCCTTTTATGCTTCATGCCTCTGATGCTGGTTAACGTGATCGACGAGAAAATAAAGATACCGATTTTGCACGTGATCGGCTCTGTCCTTGCGTGGGCCTCTTCCGTGATCAATCCTTTTATTTACGCCGGCACTAATAAGCTTTACAGAGAGGCCTACAAGCAAGTTTTGTGTCCAATTTCAAGCAAAGCGCCGACGATCGGTACGAAACAGACGCACTCGCATTCAAGTAAAGTTTCGTCGCCGCAAATGACTTGATGTTCGGTGATTTTATTCGATTCTATGACGAGTAGTTGTTGCAAAAGCGTTTGTTTCGTTCGTTTAGGTAGAAGTGCAATTATCGTTGCGTTACGATACGAATTGTCTGAAATAAAAAGTAAAATTATAAGTTCTTCCAAATGGATACGATAGGAGAAGTTTAAGAATTCAGTTGTTTTACGTGTATCTGTCTTTTGTAATTACTAGTATAATGTTAAATTAATGTTAGTTTCGTTTTTAGATCAAATAAAGTTTGTTTCTCACTTTTTCTAATGTACCAAAGAAAAGTTGATATGTACGATTTATTTTTAGCGATTTTTGAGGATACGTAGATAAACAAATGGTTTTGTACAGCATTACGATTATAAAGGGTTTCTTTTTGTTCACTGGGCATTTATTAGAATAATTTGAAATATCGATTTTCGTAAATTTACTTCACGCGTAACAATCGAGTAGATTTGTAAATTAATATTAATTATTTTTTTACAAGTAATATGAGAGAAAATATGGAAACTGAAAAGTAGAATATAAGTATTACACTTGTTAGATTTATGACTGCCAAATGAATTGGTGGTAATAGTAAATTATGAGTTTTACGTTTATTTGTACGATTAGATATATGATAACAACGAATAAAAATTACATGTACAAAGAGTGTAACTTTAGAATGATATTCTATGTAAATATACTGTAGGAGATAAATTATGATAAATAACAATATCAGATAGAGTAAAATATTTTGCATCTCGTATTTTCTACTTATATAAATTTCTGTAAATCCTGATTTATGAAATAAAAGAGAGAAAAGTATGTTAAATGTTGTTCACAAATATATGCTGATACTTTCTGTTTTAATAGGATGCATAAAATTAGTTCAAACTTTTATTTCTTTCGATTTCGTTAAACTTCATAAATTATTAATGCAACTATGAAAAACAATTGATTTAAAATCACAATGTTTATCGATATTTACCAGTTTTTGATAATAGATACACTCCTGCATGAAATTTCTACGGGATTCTCAGCTGCTGGAAAGCTGCAAGGAATTCCAACTATATTCAGTTCGCTGCAGCTTTGCTAGATGTCGCAAGCATATTCACCGATGTGAATTGAATTTTTATTTAAACCAAGTTTATTTATCATCGATAGAATATTTAAGAAATAAATATTTTTCTTAAGTTAGAAATCTTCCAATAAAAAACTACATTTTCCAGTTCCAAATGATCGACGTGCGTTACTTAAAGTCGAAAATTATCAATTTCTCATCTATTAGGTTATTACCAGTCAGTCTTTTCATAACAATAACTAATTTTTATTTTCCAACGTTGAAAAAATCTAAAATTACAATAAACAGTAACTTCCTTTTCATAAACGAAGAAAAATCGGGCTACACAGTGTGTTCAAATAAAAATCCCAAAGCAGTTCATTCGACCAACATAAAAATCACTGAAAAATAACACAAAATGCTTTAGAGAACGTTCATCGCAACAACTGCACCATCGATATCTTCCCCGTCAGTGGAATCGACTATCGAGACTCGTTCGACTCGTCGAATCGACGATCGGCGAAAACTAATATATCTAGCGTGGTCGCGAACCAGGAAGAATCAGAAATCGGTGGAACACGAGGAGATCGAGGCGGTATCGGTACGGTTTTCACTCTGGCTGGAAGAGTAGGGGCCCGGTATCCGCGAAACGAGCGTTCGTCTTGGGTCGATCGAGTGCTGTGATAGCGCGGCTATACGATTTACTGTGATTCGCGCGCGCGAACACCGGCTCTCCGCAATGTAGATAGAGAGAGAGAGAGAGAGAGAGAGAGAGAGAGAGAGAGAGAGAGAGAGAGGAGGTGGTTCTTCTTCCCTTGAATCGTAGCACCGATAGAGGTGCACGGTTGCGTTATGTTGCCGCTAATTTGGATTTATGTTCGCATTCGCACGTCGCGGCCCCGTCGCTCGACGCGGCTCGCGCCGCCTCCGACAGAATCTCCGATCGAACCCCTTTTTCCACCTTTTACAGAAAATCCTTGCGGATCGTTGCCGGCCATTCCGTTCATATTATGAGAGGGGAAGAACTTGCGAGTACGAAGTGAGGTTAGGTTAGGTTAGGAATGTGGCAAGAATGATGGCTTTTTGCGGTGAACGATGTTTCGTCGGTGTTTAGAATTCTCTTAATTCTAGTCTGGTCCTCAGGTCATTTTGGACCCATAGTACTATTATTTTTTAAATAACTTCTGCTGTTGTTAAGTTTAACCTAACCTAATTCTTGACATTGTATTAAAAGTTTATTGTTTAATGTTCATATGGGGTGCTGGTAACAAATATTGTTGCATGTAAGGTCTTTGGGTCTTTTTTGACCCAATATAGTCGAACGAAAGAACGCATTAAGGTTAGTCCTGAGTTTTTTTATGGTTTGTTTAACCCTTTCGCTGTTCCCTAAAATAAGGAAATATAAAAATGTTTCACATCTTAATGATTCAATTTAGTTACATTTATAATAAAAGCAAGGAACAAAATATTGTATTATAGTATCACGTGGGTTGGCTCAGAAGTGTTTAGGTTAGGTGTGCCCAACCCTTATTATTATTTTATTATTCATAAACATATAAAAAAAATATTTTGGAAGTAAGTTATTATATTTCAGGAGGGAAATTAGACTATAGGTGTAAAGGTCATTTCAAGGTCACCTTATGATAAATGGTTGACGAAAGAAAAAGAAATACGTTACTATTAGTAAAATCTAGCAAAACTATATAATTAGTAAATCTAGTATATTAGTAAAATCCAGTATATTAGCAAAATCCCTCAAGATATAGTGGGACACCTTGAAAAAGCACCCTAAAAAAGAGAAAAAACAGCCAACACCACTTAACAATATCACGCACGAAAAAAGAATCTAACCCAAGAATAAGGAAAGAAAGCGAAGAAAAGAAACACCAGACGAAATGCACGTGAACCAACGGACAAGCCTTAACATCCCTAGAGAAAGTAAAAAGCAAAAGACGAAAAAAAAAAAAATTGCGTAGCTAAACGGCGGGTAATTCAGCGCGAATACGCGCGCGCGCGTTAAATCGACGACGAGGACAAATGGGTAACCTTATATCGGGTGAACGAGAGGCTCATCCGTACGACAAGGGGAGGGGGTGGTAACTCTGTACGAAAATTACGCGTCGATCGACGACAAGGCAGAGAGAGAGGATCGCGTCGCGCAGGAGAGTGCAAGCGAGGCAAGCGGGGGTGGGCGAGAAAAAATCGCGAATCTGATCCGGACAGCGGCGTGGTAGCGAGGGTACTGGCCGAGGTCATCATTACCCGTCATTATCGTGGCTCGGCCAACCACTGTAATCCGTATTTCATTTTCTGCCGGTTTTTTGTCCCCCTCTATCCCCTCCCGCCGCCGCACCCCACCCCTTGCGACCCTCTTTCCGAGACACAAGTGGTTACGGCCCTAGATTACAGGCGTTGCTCGACGACGACCGATAGTTTCCGCGATAGAGCTCGCCGTAGAACGTAGTACTATACTCGGCGGTTTTGCACCTTCCACCACCCTTTCCCGGCCCCACGCCGCTGTCTTTTCCGCGGCTTGTCGTCGCTGCAATCAGCCGGCGTTGACGAGATGATTTCCATTAAAAAGTCCCTTGGAAGGAGAATTCCGCGGGTAGGAACGTTGGGATAGAGAGATTGAGGTTAGGTTCGTTTCGGTTCGCGCTGGACTTTGAGGTTTAGAGCGATGGTAAGTACACTGTCGTTCCGAAGTACATACTGGGATGTCTATTACGTTCGTACAGAAAGTATTATATTGTCGATTTACTGGAAGAGTGACACAATTTGTAAAGGTCTTTTAGCAATCTTATTATATTTAAATATGCCTACATGATTTAAATTATATTTTTTCGACAAAGTTAGTAACGAAGTGACTAACTCCATGAAATTAAGTTTATTAAATTTTTTTTATTTATGAAGAATTAAGCGCTAAGCATACTGAAATTAGAAGAATACCAAAAAGGGGAGTTAATTATTTTGGTTTCCGAGTGGGTCATATATTATCAGTAAAATGGTAGATTTGTGAGAAAAATGGAAGAGGACAAAGTTTAATTATTTTTTATGCACAATAAGATAGCTTGAATGGAATTTTTTAAATTTGCAATAATTGTCACGTAATGGCGACACCACGAATTTTATTATAATTCTTTCGAATCATCTTTTTCAGAATCTTACTAATTTTGTAATGACTGTTTAGCTTTGTTTCATATTCAGTGAGTATCCCAATACTTATCAACCGGAGTGTACCTAGTTCTGCCATAACTTCTGTTACAAATATATTGGGTGATTGTGAAAGAACAGAAAATATTACAATCCCCAATTAATCACAATTTATTGCTACGTGAAACAATAAAAAGAATTCCTCAATAAACAAAACCTAAAATGTTTCTCTAAAGCGAATTACAAAAGTTCCTCCACAAACATAACCTAAAAATTGGTTTTAAGTGAACTACAGGAACCCAGTAATAATTGAATCTCAAATGATGCAATCTACGTCACTAATTAAAAATTTCCTTGAATTCCGATAATGGTTCTTCTCAACAAACCGTAGAACTTCTGTTGCCACGATAATAAGACAGAAAAAGAAGAAATCTGGAGAGAATTAGCTACCGCCAATAACGAACTCCACCTCTTCGAATTCCAGAAAACTTTTTTAGCTTAATTAATGCGACAAAATGAGTCAGAATGTGGTCAGTATTGTTGCGCCAGGAACAGACTCACCGTTGTGCACACATTGACCTTTCGTTTCAGCTCTTTTCTCTAACTATGCCGCGAAGTGGAAGAAGAGAAGGTCGGGAGGTTAAGCGGAATAAGAAGGCAAGAACTAATTGCCTCGCGATACGCAGCTAACACGCGAGGACGTTTTCGAGTAAAAAGGACAAAACCGTCTCTTTCCTTTTTACTTTCTTCGATTTTTTCAATTCGTATATGTATACGTGTACGTATCGGGTTGCATCGTTTT